ACCTTGCCTCTGGGGGGCGCCTGAGATCCAGACTCCCTACCCACCTCCACCCCAGGTCTCCAGAGGCAGGTGCCCGTCCCACCATGCAAAATGCATTCAGTTGGTCTCCAAGAATCCCCTGGTCTCGACAGTCTGAGCATTCCTCACAAGTCCAAGATGCTGCAGGTATGGCACACATGCCTGTGATCCCTGCTATTTGGGAGCCTAAGACTGGACAATTGCAAGTTCAAGGCCAACCTAGGCAACTAAGTGAGGCCACGTCTCAAAATAAAATAGTTTAGTGACAGAACACTTGCCTAGTGCTTAGGATCCCATGGGTTCAATCCTAGCAACACAGGTACACATCCAAAATTCTTCTGAGACTCGGGCCAACCTTTACTGTGAGTACCTATTTAAAAAAACAACAGACCTGGTTACATATGTCCAGTATACCAATGGTACAGGGTGAACATTCCATTCTGAAGAGGAGGAGGAGGAGAAAACCACAGAAGGATCAGACCAAAGAAAGACCAAAACCCAGCAAGGCAAACACTGAGTCCTGTAGCTCCACGACTGGCACCTGGGGCATGTTGTGGGGGTGGGTGAGGCCCTAATGGGTTTGGGCTTTGCCATCGGTAGTCCAGAGGGCCACTCTCTTGGGCTGGTTCTGCTTGCTGCCTGCAGTTTTCATTGGTAGATGAGCCATGCTCCTGGCATCTCTTAACTTCTCTCGCAGCTTCACACACTACCCTTCTGGGGCTTCATGCTCAGGTCCCAACCCTGCCACACACTCTCCAGCCCCATCACTCTGGGCCTGTGGTGAAGCAGCAGCATAGTGCACAGCATGTGGCAGAGCAGAGCTGCTTACCTCCTGGTGGCCAGGGAGCCATGACCCCAAAACTCTTGTATTCAGCATTCCTGCAAAACCAGCATCACAAAGATGATGCCAAGATCTGCCACCAGCTCAAACAGTAGCAGGGCCCACCTGGACCTTGTGGCCCTGTGTAAGCTGTGCACGCTCTCCTATGAGTTTATTCTTTTACACCCTTGAGCCTGAGATAGGTGGGGTCTGGCCGATTCCTGAGGTGCCCTCAAATATCTTTCCTGTTGTTCAGATGCAAATGCAAAGTACTTATTTGTTTGTTTTGGTGCTGGGAATTAATTTAGCACCCTCCTACGTGCTACCACTGAAATACAAGCCCAACCATTTCTTATTTTTAAATTTTGAGACAG